GCAGTAAAAATATATAAAAATATTGTGATGGTTCATAAAATAATTCATTATAATTTTGATTTCTACATTTTCCATATATATTTGTTCTTTCAATACTTTTCTTGTTATGAGATTTTAATTAAATAATCATGATAATAAAAATCTATAACGTGATTTTTTGAAACAAGAGTTTCTACAGCCCAATATTTAAGGCTGTATAAATTTACATGTTACAAACAATAGAAACTTACAAAAAAAAAATAGAATGTAAATCTGTAACTTAGAAAATTAAAATTACAACATGATTGGTTAAAAATGATGTAGATTTTAATTTTAAAAATTAAAGGTACAACATAATTAGTAACTAAATAATGATTTAGAAAAAATTAAGACTATAAACAACAATTAAAGCTCAACCAATACACTAAATCCAAAAGAAATAAAACTGCATAGAGTTATTATATATATAAAATCCCACTTTTAAATATTTTTATAGACATAAAAAAATGTTTACTATTAAAATATGTAACTCAGCATATTGAGATAAATAATTTAATCTGGCATAACCGTTTGGGTTAGAATTATTGAAAATCCAAAAATGTCTATTATGAATTCTATATGGAAAACAAATTAAGTTAAACCGGTTAACGGCTTTTGGAATTTCTGTGGGTTTCGTAAACACTGAAAAAAAGATTCCAAATGTCAATCAACCGATTAATTTAATTTCTTTATCAAGAATTCAAGATATCGACAGATCCACTCACATCTCACATCAAATGTCTATGAATCCTTTATGGAAAACAAATATAATTTTTTTATATATTCCCGGTTCATTAAGGGAGTAAAATATATCACCGGTTTATTCTTCTTTTTTTCCCAACAAAAAGATAACCGGCTGGTTATGGTCTAGTATCATCCTGGTACAGTGTACTTAACAGTTACAACAAGCTTGAAGAAGTCGTTGTGCTTTATTATACACAAAATGTAGAAAAAGAACTCTATTGTCCATCTAAAGTCACAAAAGCATCTTTAAGAAGTCGTTGTGCTTCTTCTCTCCTCCTACACATAACCAAAACAACACTATTACCAATCCATTGCGCTTATTTCTGACCTCTATATAAACATCAAACGGACCCAGAAATACCAACAAGATTTCGAATAATCTTTTATAGTTTATAGATTGATCTTCATACGAGAGAAAACTTTTAGAAACATTACCTCTTAATGTCCTCCACGGCTTGTTTACGCTGTTGAATTTGAAGTTCCATGATGTGAATAAGCGTTGCTCGAGCCTGGACAAAATGAGAGAAAGTTGTAAAAGCGAAAAGCAGATCAAAACATGTTGTAAACTCAAAGAGATCTTTCTTACTTGGTGAGGCCTCAAGGAATTGAGAAGGTGATGCAAATTCTTAAAGATTGAAGATATTTCACCGATTCTTTTCGCATATTGAGAAGGTCTTTCAACAAGAACATCAGCTAGCTCCAATATATGTAACTGTAACTCTCTATTCAAAGACCGAAGCTCTTTCTTGTAATCTACACAAGATATTTGAGAAATTCTCATCAACAAACCAAAACAAAAGAAAGAACATTAACTTGCAAAAGACTAAGGCTAAGATCAGAACAAAGCATCTCAACTCTAAAAGCTTAAAAGCATTTGCATTTGAATATGATTCGAAGAATGACACATACCAACATTTGAATCTTTGGGATAAAGTTGAGGAACTCCTTGTTCTTCTAAGCTAGGAAGAACATCTTCAGTCTACAAAACAAGAATCGAAAAATGTAAAACTCACAACGATGATGAAATTGTGAAGCTTGATCAGAGGAAAAAGAATCAAAATGGTGAATCTCACTGTGTAATTGCCACCGAAACAAACGTAGGTTCCTTCGATTGGAGGCGGAGGTTCAGGAGCAGAATTAGGGTTTTCTGAGTAGTCTTTGTAGAGTCTGTAATACGGAGGAGGTGGTGGATACGTAGCTGTAGCCATATTCTCTACAGATCCAAATCAAAATCAACAAGATTGAGTCGCACATCTTAGGGTTTCTAACCGATGCAAACGATTACGACTCCAAATTCGATCCCCAATCTAAAGACTTTACGAATGTATCGAAGATAATATGGGTGAAATTGTAATAATTGAAATCGAGACTAACCTTTTGGGAAAGAAGATCGAAGAAGCTT